AGTTAAAAAACTCAGTTAAGAAACTTTTAAAAATCTCTATTGGAGTTGCTCTAAGTATATAACAAAATTAAAAAAGAACGAATGACTATGTGTTTAAAACCCCACTAGATTTTGATCCACGCCAAGCGTGAGATTAAATAATTAAATATATTTATAATCTATTTTAATATGTAAATGTGTCTCACAAATCTATGATTTCTAATCTTTATAAACTTACAAAGTGATATGCATTGTGCATAAGTATAATCAAATTAAATTTTGATCAAACATATTTTGATGCCACCAGTTTTAATATTTTTATGTGCAATTGATCAGAACATATGAAAATGTTATTTATTTCAATATATTTTAAGTGTAAAATTAATTTTTATTATTCGTGTAAATTATAGAGTATACTATAAATCAGATAAATTTTAGATTTATATGAATTTGTCAGACATAATAAATGAAAAACAATATATATTTTCCAATAATAAAACTATGAAATGTGTAAATATTTTATATATCATATTAATCTAAATACATATATACACAATAAATAATATTGTCACAAATATAATAATAAAAAGTTTTAAAATATAAAAAAAGTTTTAAAAATAGATGATATGATAAGTCTAAATATTACATTTAGTTGGACTTAGATTTGCAAAAGATGTATTAAATGGTTTATGCTATAAAATTAATAAGAATATGTAGAATTAATTGAAATGTGTTCATTTGTTAATTTAAATGACATCTTCTTTAAAATCCTCATTGAGTAACACATATGATTTTCACCTTAGTGTCTCCTCAATTAATATATATACAGAGGATATATTTCAAGAAACATTATAGCGACAATAAGGCCCATTAAAAGACCAACGTATTGTGGTACTCAAAAAGATAATTCATTTGTGCTTGGTTTGATGTAGGTAGCGAGATCGACGTTGGATCCATAATGTACGAGCCACCAAGAAATGGTCCGACACTATGGGAGATCGGAGTACCTGACCGAACCGCCGGGGAATTTTATATTCCCGATCCGAATCCAACCCTTTTGACAAAAATCTATCTTAATACCTCAAATCCTCCTCAAGAAAGGTATTATAATTAACCATCCCATCAAAGATATTATTTTACAATATGTTTTTTTTTTAATATACTAAATGGTGGTTTATTAATACAGATTTAGACAATATGGTCTATGGGAACGTTACAGTGATTTGTATCCTCGAAATGATCTTGTTTATATTGATGGAGTGAGTGACTATAAAAAAAACTGGTTCTATGCACATGTAACCAGGTAATGTAATTCAAAATGGTGTTTTATATTAATCACTTAACTCTATTTATAGGAATATATTTTACTATAATATACAGACATGTTGGATATGAGACATATCAAGGAACGACATGGCAAATCGTGTTTCAATTAGAATCAGTGACTCAAACTGGAAACTACACATTTCGAATGGCTTTGGCTGCAGCCACAACTGCGAATTTATTTGTTCGGGTTAATGAAGCTAAATCCAAACCGATTTACATGACCGGGTTCATAGGCCGGGATAACGCAATCGCCAGACATGGAATCCATGGGTTGTACAAACTGTACAATATCGATGTTGATGGAGAATTGCTTAGGGTTGGTAATAATACGATTTTTCTTAATCAAAATCGGAACACTAGTTCGTTTGCTGGTGTTATGTATGATTATCTTCGTTTGGAAGGACCGAATTTGATAATGTGAGGCTTATGTTTTTTAGAATACTTTGGTTTAAACTTTCAATGTACTCTGAAAAATATGCATTTGATGTAATAAAGGTTTTGATTTGAATATAATTACAAATATTATGATAAGAAGTTTTGTTTCATATACAATAGTGATGAATGGCTAAATTTATTGGTAGCTTTTATTTGTTTTTTTGTTTTTGGATAATATTTTTTTGCTAGCTTGTGGCTAATTAAACACCAATGCAGAGCTTTTAGTTTTCAGATCAATTAGGTGCGTCGATTGGTTATAGATGATGCAGATTTTCAATAATTTACTAAAGTTTATAAATAACATAAATTTGTTTGTTTTCAAATGTTTTCCAAAAAATTATTATATATATAGTGTTTTTTTTTTGTTTTTGGGTCACATATATTTAGTGTTCTTTAAAACAACAAAATAAAATGGTATGCATATATGTAAGCATTTAGTTATAGATAAAATATTACAACACTCACCATCATAATACCTTTTTTTTGTTTTTTCTAACAGCAATAATTTTAAGTATATATATTATTAAAAATATATATAAGCAGTATTCAATATTATGTTGGTGAAAAAATAAACACGTATTGACGTATATGAAGTATCATATTATGTAAACACTATATTATTTTTTTCAACATTGCGTAACATTCTATTAAAATTAGAGTGAAAATTAAG